AAAGATTTTGTTTTCAATGAGTTTTCAAATAAATTTGTTGGTTAGACCATTAATGATAAGTCTAGGACATCCATCACAAAAGAAAGAAAAGAATTCATCAAGTTAGATAAATCTAAGGCCATAAATCACCAAAGCCACTTTTTTCCTTCATGTTCCAACAAGGGATATCAATTACATACATCAAAATCAGCCATCAAGCTTCAACACAAGTAAGCATCAGGTATGCAATCATCAATGCAAGCATATTCTCACTTGCATTATCTCATCTTTATACCATCATTGCATTGCATCCATTATGGGATCTATGAGCCCCAATATTCCCTTAATCCTTATATTAGGCAATTGACCCAACTCCTAACATCAAATAATATTTTGGACTTCAAAACCAAATGCCCAAAGAGTCATGCATATTGACTTACCCATGTCAAACATTTATGGTTCAGGTGTAGAAACTTGTTAGATGTCTTTCAGTTGTTCTTAACAAGAAAATACATTGGAATGACTTTCCCACACTCATTAGTTTTCCATTGAAAAGGTTTTCTCATTGACAAAAATCATCTTTCCTTTTTCATCATGTATTTATGAAATCAATGCATCTTAAATAATCTCAAGCAATTGGCGAGTGAGAGATTCTACAACTCCTCTATTGCAAGGATAACCATAGTCCTAGACAGCTACACAAATATTATGGATGAGAGATTTCATTTCAAAAATCATTTTAGGAAGATCCAAGGATTGGCATAAATACAACAATCCTTCTGTTAACAATTGAATGAATGTTAGATAGCTATGAGAGCGTACAATAGGGGGAGATTCATGGGAATCATTTACAATAAAAAACAATCATCTTCTTTCAAACAATTAGCACTTTTGTCATGAAAAGGTTTTCAAGTAGCATTCTTTTGAAGCTGGACAACCATTCCATTACATTTTTGTGCAAAGCTGGGTTGTCTCCTTAAATTTTGTTCTTTAGATTATCATTCTCCAACAAAGAGGGGTAATCTAAAAGCACCCTATTTTTGTGCTCTTTAGCCTTTTCCATCACTTTGAGCTTTAAGTATGCTTCAACTAATCTCTTAGCCAACCTAGAGGGGTTCTTAGATTTTTAGAAAAGTTTGGACCCCTAAAATCCAATACCATAGGCATGTAGAGCCCAAAAATCCAAATCTGATGACATCCAAATCACCAAAATCCAATATCATTTACCTCTTTATCTTAAGACTCAAAGCCGAAACCAATTCCATTCGCCTTATCAGAATCATTTTGATTCTGAACCTTATCTCAAGTCAAATAAAAAATTGAAAACCATAGGCATGTAAATCCCAAAAATCCAAATCCGATGACACCAATTCACCCAAATTTGATACCGTTTACCCCTTAATCTTAAGACCCAAAGCTGGAACCAATTATAATCATCTGATCGGGGTCATTTTGATCATGAACCTCATGTCATATTTATCATAAATCAAAAACCATAGGTACATAGAACCCGTAATTCTAAATCCGATGACACCAAGTTCACCTAAGTCCAGCACTGTTTACCCCTTAATCTTAAAAGTCGAAGTCAAAATTGATTCCGATTGGTTTATCAATATCATTTTGATCTTGAACCTCATCTTACGTCAAATTAAAAATCAAACACCATAGGCACATAAAGCCTATAAATCCAAATCCGATGACACTACAATCATCCAAATCCGATACTATTTACCGTTTCATCTAATAAGATATCAAAGATTAGAACAATACGAAATTAATGGGTTCCCGATAGTTTTTCTTGATTAAGAAGCACTACAAAAGAAAGCTTTAAAACAAAGTATCATCCAAAAACAGAGAAGGATTATTGATCATTCTCATAATACTTCAAATAAAAGTAATGGATAATTTGTTTTTGTTTCTAAGTATAATAAAAAATACCAAGATATCAAAGATTAGAACCATACCAAATGAGTGGATATGGGATGGAAAAAAAAGATCGGAGAAACACTCATCACTAGACTTCAAATATTAAAGCAAATGTGGATCACCTAAAATAGAATAAATAGAATAAGACCATTAATTCCACTCACTAAAGAGAGAATGGATAAGAGAATCTTGTCATAATTGCTATTCTAGAAATCAAAACTATTTTAAGCTTAGAAGACTATTTCCTAAAAATCCACCAACCGGTTTCCAAAGAGGCCCCCTTTATTAGAATCCTCCAGCTACGGTGGTTTGGAGAGACCAAGCAGGGTGGAAAATCAGACTCTGGATCTCTTACCCATGAGATCTCTACCCACGTGTACCCACAACACATTACACCGTGAATTGGGAACATTTCCCCCTGCATAATACTATGCAGGAGGATGAGATGTTCTCCATGTGTGGCTGCGATGTTATGTGGGTAGACATGGGCAGAGTTTGCATGGGCAGGAGATCCAGACTTGGAAAATCAATCCTCGAGACCCCTTTGTTAGAGTTCTCCAAAACAAGACATGAAAATGCCCAAAACAACCACGCAGTTACTTTTGACCAAATGTTTATTTTCCAAAATTTCTCTTCACATGAATCAATAGTCCAAATCCTTCCAATCTTTTTTCTGCAATTAATTTGTTTTCCAAATTTTCCCTTTGCATCAATCACTCAAACGTAAAACTGTAACTTTAGATTCTCTCTATCTTTCTTTTGTTGTTTATAAAATTTGTATTGTTTCTTCTGTAGAAACCAGCCTCACAGGTAATTGCATGAGTAATTTGGACACTTTTATGCCTTTTATTAGAAGATTTTAAGAAAGGGGGTCTACTTGCAATTGTATCAAAAAGTTCAAGAAAAGTAATTACAATTACCAAACTTAAGAGAAGATTCCAGCAATGGTCAAAAACTTTTAGGGAAGCTTCAGCAATTTACCCTATAAATAATTTTCTTTACAAACTCAGCAAATCCAAATGAATAGCCTAATTCCTCGGCCTCGGCTTCGGCTTCCCAAGAAAAGGCCTTACCTAAACGAGGTGGTAAAAGATTCAGTACATTGCTAGTTAAAGCCAGAAGAAGACCTCTATCCTGAATAAGGGCAATGATGATGGAATGAAAAATTAGTCAGGAACACTAAGCATAAAGTCACGAATAAATATAGATTGGCTAGCTACCAAACCACTTCTACATTGAACGGGCTGTGGTGTTAGAGGCTCAAACGAGTTCATATTAGGTCCCAACACAGGGTCCTAACAACCGGTCACAACAACCTTTACAGTTATATCTTGGGAACATCTCGTCATGAGGACAAGGAAGATATTCCCAAAGTAGAGCTGCAACAGCTTTTATGACTGATTGTTGGGACTAGATCCAGTCTCCAAAAATAACCACACGGATCCAAATGAAGCTTATTGCTTGGAATTGTCAAGAGCACTGATAATTCAACATCTCGTCTCTCTCAAACCAGTCACTCAACAGCCCAGGGGGAAAGCACAACCGGGGGAACTTCAAGTGGAAGAAACCCACACCAAAAATTATGAGGTCCTGTTTGTTTTTCGGTTAGTTATTTATCCAGGTAATTGCATTTACGTGGGTAAGTGTTTTCTAAGAAAGATTTACCTGGGTAAGTGCATTTATCCACGTTCTTTTATTTCCTATGTAAATAAGGCGATGACCATTTTATCCATAAAAATCCATTAGTAAAAGGGGCATTTTTGTCCCATTCAAGTGTTGGCAACTTTCTCCCCAAGTGGGTAAGTTATTTACCCACGTAGGAAATAGGTATCACTTACCCGGAAGTGATACCCAGGAAAATAAATTTTTTGTGGTTCCTACATAAATCTGAAAAAACAATATGGGTTTCTTAATCAATAACAACCAAAATCCCATTAACTAATTTTCCCCCTCAAAATCCAAAAAAAAAAAAAAAAAAAAAGCCCTCTGAAGACAAATTTTAGTGCGAATGCTAATATCAAAGTGGCCGTTCATTGGAATGCTAATATCAAAGTGTCTATTGTTGTGCTACTCCAATCCACCCATGTAGTCCTATTACAACAGAATCCAATTGGGTTTGGAACTGGGTTTGACTGATGTCCGTTTTGAAGTTGATGTTCTTTGCCACAATGAGACTTCTATTGGTGACTTCACCATGGTATATCAACATGTACAGTTATTGCTCACGCAGCCACCTCCAACATTGCGAGGTAGGCCTTACATGGAAAACTGCGGAAATGTGTTTGGTAAAAACACAGAGCTGAAATTACACTTACAAGAGAAATTGACTTTCCAATGAAGGTATTTTTGGTATTTCCGGCATCATAAATTTGCCCTTTGTTAAATTACAAAATTGTCATTGGGGAGAGCTGTTTGCTAAAAACAATGCTAGGCACATTACAGTTTTTGCCACCTGCCCATTCTTGTAAAATTTCAGAAACCAATGTACATAAATGCCAGTTCGGATCGCCCACCTACAAGAACCCTACCTACACCAACCCACGCCTCACTACAACAGTACATTGAAAACATCTTCGGTATTTGCATGTTAGGATTTGAGTCCGGATCTCCTGCCCATAAACTCTGTCGATGTCTACCCACATAACATCGCAACTACACATGAAGAATATTTCATCCTCCTACATACTATTATGCAAGGGAGATGTTCCCAATTCACGGGGGTAGCGTGTTGTGAATAGAGGTGGACAATTCTCATGGGCAGGAGATCCAGAGGGGTAACGTTCCCAATGTACAGCTGTAGCGTCATGTAGGTAGGATTCCTTTTGGTAGGAGACTTGAATTGTATAAATGCATCAATCTTCACCCCAAAGAAAATATCATAATTCCTATTTCCTATGGCTGTAATCCTAATTTCGATAAAACCCAAACAACTAATGGGACCTTCGTGATGCCCACATCATCTATTAAGCAAGATTTGTTCCGATCAGAATCAGGATTCTTTCTAATTTTCTTCACTGTTTTCATATTTATACAATTGTGGCATTGAATTACAATGGCCAATAAAAAGGCTGAAGCCACACAGTAATGTACTTGCGTTGATACAACTATTGGAGAAGGTATGTTATCTTGTATATGGTATATAGTTAATATAATTTTCTTGTAAACTACAAAAATTATATGCAGAAGTATCAACCTTTGGAATGAAATACATCAAGGAGAACTCCGCATGATCGTCTCAGTAGCCCCAGAACTAAGTTGATGCTGCAGCACGATCTAGTACCACCACCTTGGATCTGGTAGTTCCAATTAATTGATTGCATATGTACTAAATTTCCCCCAACTAAATTATGAACATGTGACCATACTCCTGTTTATACATACCACCTAAATCTTTAGCTTTTCCCCAGGATAAACCCCATTGACCCCAGTTCTTTGTTGTTGCTTTTGCTTTAAAACCTCCCTACAACTTGTCTTCTGTATTTGTGTAGACGGTAAACTTGTTTCGTCAAATTTATCCCTACTGTTTTTCCTCCTGTAGCATGTGAAAATGGGAAAACATAAAACGAAGAAAAAGATTCTATTTCATATAAAAGCTAAGCAGTAGAATGATATTGGATGACATTGCTTGGGTTCAGCAATATTTAATCTCTGAAAAAGCATATTGATAGGGGACATACCTGCTGTGAAGTAGGAGGAACAGTGCACCGAAGAGCGTAATCCCACCAGCAACGGATCTTAGCATTAATTTCTTGTTCAGCTTCTTGTTCTTTGCTCTTACTGCACTTGCTTCATCCACTCCCCTTTCTAAATTCTCTGTTGCTTTCATGTCCAATATTCCATATAATGCTTTGTCCTACTTTCAACAATTAAATTGATTAGAGATACTATTCCAAAGGCAAAACAATGACTCAAATTGAAGTTTTCCATCAACTCACCTTATCTATTATTTTTGTAAAATAAGCATCAATTTCTTGATTTGTACATGTTTGATCAACTACTTGCAAGTCATTGCTTATAAGAAGCTGATCATTCTGACTTTCATCAATATTTCCTGAACATGAAGGTGTTGAGTATTGCAACTTTTGTGATGATGGAATGCAGAGGGTCACAGAAACATCATTTTCATTGAAAGAAGGTTCATCAACATCAATGATATTGGCTCTGCATGTATCTTGGTCACTGCTATCTTGAATATCCTGAATTTCTGTAAAATAAGCATCATTTTCTTGATTTTTACATGTTTGATCAACTACTTGCAAGTCATTGTTTATAAGAAGTTGATCACTCTGACTTTCATCAATATTTCTTGAACATGAAGGTGTTGAGTATTGCAACTTTTCTGTTGATGGAATGCAGAGGGTCACAGGATCAACACCATTTTTATGGAAAGAAGGTTTATCAACACCAATGATATTGGTTCTACATGTATCTTGGTCACTGCTATCTTGAATATCCTGAATTTCTGTAAAATAAGCACCATTTTCTTCATTTGTACATGTTGGATCAACTACTTGCAAGTCGTTTCTTATAAGAAGCTGATCATTCTGACTCTCATCAATATTTCCTGAACATGAAGGTGTTGAGTATTGTAACTTCTCTGATGATGGAATGCAGAGGGTCACAGGAACAACGCCATTTTTATGGAAAGAAGGTTCACCAACATTAATGATATTGACTCTGCATGTATCTTGGTCACTGCTATCTTGAATTTCTTTAGTCTGAAGGTAGAAGCATGACTTACTAAATTCAAAAGGAGAATCACCGGACTTCGATGGGATGTTTTTTCCTTCTAAGGCATCAAGACCTGTTTGGAGCATCACCAGACTTTGAACTGAAATATCAGCTAACAAGGGGTTTCTGTGGCAATGCTGTGAATGGCTGATTAATGCCTTATATGCATTGGGCATTTCTTGTACGTCGGTTCCTCCATCAACAATGCTTGGTAAATTTACTTGAGGATAATGAGATGGTTCTAAACTCAAGTATGTTATAAAACCCACGAAACTTTCTGCTCTTTTCAAACCTGAGGAGAAGCTATTCAAGACAGTCCTTGACGCTGAGGTGCTTTTGCAGCCCAGACCCTCTCCAGTACTCTGCTTTAAGAAATAGTTCAAACCATCTCCTGCAAGCAAGTGTTCAGGACATTCCTCTCTAATTATAACAATGCCAGCTTCTGGGTGTCCTTCAGTGTCATAGGTCTCAACCCCATTGCAGTAGAAATAATTAACACTGTTAGGATGTTGCAAATCACCACCATTAGCACCACCAAGGGGAATAGAAGTTCTGCTTTTTTCATTCCCTCTAGCTGCTATTGTTTCTGCATTTAACTCTTTACATGCGACTTCCGCACTATTATGAAAGTAAGCTGTTGAAAAATAATTGATCAAGTTCATTGTATCCACACCCGGTTCCTTTAAGGTGGAGATGGATACCACATTGATTGCATCAGAAGATATGAAATCTGCATCATTAAGCCTTAGATCCTCAGCTGAACTTCTATTAGGATACACATTATGTGAAGGCACAGGTTTGGAAGAAGCACTAAAACTGTTGTGGTTCATAACCCCATTGAAGTAGGAATAATCAACAGTGTTAGGATATTGCAAATCACCACTATTAGCACAACCAAGGAGCACTGGAGTTCTGTTCATTTCATTCCATCTTGCTGCTATTGTTTCTTCATTCAACACTTTACATGTGACTCCTGTACTATTATGAAAGTAAGATGTTGATAGATAATTCATCAAGTTATTCATTGTATCCACACCTGTTTCCTTTATGGTGGAACTGGATACCTCGTTCATTGCATCAAAAGTTATTAAGTTTGCATCATTAAGCCTTAGAGCCTCAGCTGAAGCTTTATTAGGATATACACTATGTGATGGCACAGGTTTGGAAGAATCACTAAAACTGTGGGTTCCATTTGATATCTTTACCAGTGAACACCTGAGTTCATCAGTCCATTTGATCTGAGCACTACTGGGAGCATTAGATTGACCTGACAGTAACCCATTGAGTTGGACCCTGCAAGCATTTCTCAAAGTTCCTTTATCATTTAGGCAGTCATTACTATTAGCTAGCAGTTCAAAGGTGTTAACTTCAACAACATCCAAATCAGTGTGAGACATGCTTACAATGTGATCATGGAATGAAACATAATGTTCATCTCCAGAATGAAAGTATAATTGCTGGTCTGGGATTTGTGTGCAACTTTTGGTGGATGAACCAAAACATTCAGAGGCAACAGAAACTAGGGCTCTATCAGAACTTAGTGTTAAATCATCTACAAGAACATGATGTTCAATTGTGTCCCAAGATTCATGCCCACTCATAGAACTCTTGTTCACGTGATCAATTTCCAGATTCTGATGCTCAAAGAATGGGATTTTGCAACCATCTTTTGCATCAAACTGTGCTTTGAAATCTGTGTCCTCCACATTACTTGGAAAACATTTCACACAGATTGTAGGGGACAAATCAGCATTTTCAATCTCATCAGATAATCCCCTTCCAAACCCACACCCCAACCTTGGAACTGAGGTTGATTCATTAAAAGATGCATCCCTGTAAATAGTAATTGTTCTGTCCTTCCCTCCTTTATTGAATCCACAGTAACTGATTTTAGCTCTGTGGTCAGCTCCTGACAAAATACAGTTTTCTGCAATCACTGAACTTCCTCTAGGAGAATTCTCTAAACTAGGAATCAACAGGGATGCACTGTCACATAGAGCTTCTGAGTCTGGGCTGTGGACAACAAATTCCCTAAAATTGCTTTCTGCATCATCGGAATCTTCTGAATAAGAATCACACTGCCTGATGTAGTCCACACCCCAGTTTTTCTACAGTGCAAATGAAGAGTTATAAACACAACATGAACATTTACATATGTAAATGTATATATGGGTTACTGTCTAGAAGGTAGTTTCTTATTCTTTATTTAACTTATAATTGGAACATCACCATCTAGCACTTACCTGCCTGTGATTTATGGTTGAGTCCAAGTGTGGACTCCGACGAACAAAACTTGATGAGCTACACTGTGATTGCTCCAAACTTCTACGGATGAATCCAACCATATCTGTAGGCATTGCTATTGTATAGGTAACAATATCAAAATCTGGAACCTATATAGAATATTAACAGTTCCTTAGTCTTCATAAATATAATGACTACAGAAATCATAATAGGATTAGAAAGAATGAAAAACCTATGGACATATTGAAAATGAAAAGGGAATAACTAGTATGCTGACTACACATTTCTTACATTTAAATTTTTAGACCTTGCCTTCTTTGAGAGAGAACGAATACACAAACAAACTCTACGTGTATCTCTTTTCTCAACAACATCCGATGGGGAGAAGAGATCAATACTAGTCAGTCCTAAAATTTGGCAGATCTAGAAATAAGAAAGGAAAATACCAGTTAGAAATCCAAAAAGAATACTTGATACCAATTTGAATCCTTGATAGAAAAAACCTTTCAAACAGTTTTTTCATTAATGCAAAAGTGGGGGATAGGAGTTATATACTTGCATGCTACTGATGTAGGTCTCTCCATTGCAGAAACGTCTTGAGACACCACATGCTATAACTTATTTTAAAGTTAAAAAGAAAAAGGAGAGAAAATAATCTAAAATTGTAGATGCTGGTAACATTACCAATATATAATGAAGAGTTTCATTCATGGTTTTAAGAGGCATTATCAAGGTGTCACTACCACTCCAATTCCAATAAATTCCAACACCTAAAATTTCAATCAACTTTCATGAATTCAGAGATACATTTGTAAATTGAGCTAACAAATCTGTAACTTCTCTAAGGATGTATTTGGATAACCGTGGATTTGGATTTGAAGAAAGTTGAAAATTTTGGTATTATCAACTGTAGAACAATGTTATAAAATGAGGAGGCATGAGATGAGGTGTTCCACTACGCGGAGGCATGAGGTTTAGAACATAAGAAGTGTAAGCCTCCTAAACAAAAAGAAGGTGTAAGCCTCTTTAAGAGGAGGGGGATGAGGAAGAAGAGGAAGGAGGAGAGCCCCTACATTGACAAGACACCCCAGCACAAAAAAAAAAAAAAAAACAAATTGGGCTGCACTGAAAAGGGGTTGGGGGGGTCTGGGGGTGAACCGGGAGCAGAGACCCCTGCCAACTTTCTTTCCCCTTATCTTTCCTTCGCTTCCCTTTCCTTTTCTTTTCTTTCTTTTCTCTTGTTTTCTTCTCTTTCTTTCTTTTTCTTTCCCTTCTCTTTCTTGTCATTTCCCCTCCCTAACAATCTCGCCTTTGCAGGATCAGAATGTGCACATGAGACCCAATCTTAAGCTGCTTTGCCAGAAGCCACAAAACAAGCGCAGCTTCCCCAAAGACCAGCCAAACTTCATTCAGCCCACCCTGTCTCGCCACAACAAAAGGAACTCAAAAGGTCACCTTTTAGCACCTGGCCTTGCTTGAACAATCTCATCAGCTTCCAGCCTCACAAAGCCAAGACCATGAGACCCAGCCACGAAGTCATTTTTCCCAGTCTTGCAACCTCGCCAAGACCACTCAGGCTTCACCTCACAAGATCACCACAATAGATACTATGCCTATTGACCCAGTCCTTCTCATTAGCGCAAATCTTTCCAATCAACCAACAATGCCTCCAGACACCTGAAACAAGAATTTCCATTCTTAGTTTTGAGTGTCCTCACAGTTCATTCTTTTCCCATTTTGCTTTGCCATTTTTTGTAAGTTTGGTCTGGTGCCAAGTTTAAAACTTTTGTAACGATTGGCTCTATAAAAGGCCATCCAATGATTTTTAAGAGAGCTTTTGGTTGAACTCAATCGAGTTAATACTTTTATCCCTCAGGCATCAACTTCTTCCTCTTCTCTCTTGTTGGACCTGTTTTTGGGCCACTAAAACCCCCAAAATCCTTACAACTGTCTACTTGGAATAGAGGTTAAGGTCACTGCCTCTACAGGTTGCAAAAGTTTTTGGTAATTAGAAGAACCGAGAAGTTAGTGTTATTTTTCTGCTTCAATCATCAACTGTTGCACCGTTGTTGTTGCCGTTGGCCTTCTCAGTGAGTCTTCCTCCGTTAGAGACTTCTGGCTGCATCACTAAGTTTCCACAAATTTCAACTGGGTCTCTCCAAATTTTATGTATTTTGATAACATTAGAATTTAATTTTCAGAGAAGGATGAAATGGTTGCTTGAAATGCTGATTGGATAATAGTTCACCCTTAGAAAACAAGCAAAGGAATTCTCTAATAAAAAAATGCATAACTTAATAGTGTGACACTGATTCGATAATAGTTCCTAAGGGCCTTGAAATGCTGCACAAGGAAATGGGAACATGGAAGTGCCAAATTTTGTTCACTATAGTGCCAAACAAGGAAGCTTTGTTCATGGAATGTTATAAAAATTTGGACTCACAATTTACCTAGAACCCTGAATTTAGAAGGAATATGAATGACTGGGAGATGGAGGACCCTTATTAATTGCTGTCCAGGTTGTATTGAATATCATCTCCCCAAAGGCATCAGATAGTGGAATGTGGACTGGTGAAAAGCCTGGTATCTTCCTCTGAAGTTCATGGGATGTTATAAAAATTTGGACTCAAAATTTACCTGGAACCCTGCATTTAGAAGGAATATGAACAATTGGGAGGTGGAGGACCCCTTTTCATTGCTTTCCAGGATTTATGAATATCATATCTCCCCAAAAGGCATCAGATAGAAGAGTGTGGATTGGTGACAAGTCTAGTATCTTCCCCTCAAGTTCATGCACCTGGAACCCTGCATTTAGAAGGAATATGAACGATTGGGAGGCGGAGGACCCCTTTTCATTGCTTTCCAGGATTTATGAATATCATATCTCCCAAAAGGCATCAGATAGAAGAGTGTGGATTGGTGATAAGTCAGGTATCTTCCCCTCAAGTTCGTGCAACAGGATGATTTCATCCCATCTAAACAAGGTTGTCCAGTAGGCTTGGTTTTGGAATGCACAGACTCCACGCAAAGTGGCTTTCTTTCTGTGGACTGCAGCCAAGGACAAGATGCTGACCATGGATCATTTGTTGAGCAGAGGCATGCTATTGTAAACTCCTGTAGACTATGCAGCATAAATCCAGAATCTGACAATCACATATTCATTCATTGCACTTTCATTCATTCAATCTGCGCCCACTTCCTTCGGCTCTTCAATATCAGTAAGGCAACACCCCCCAATCTTCCAACACTCTTAGCATCCTGGCTGGTAGTAGGGTTTTCAGTTAGAGGGAAGACCCTGTTGAAGATCCTTCCACTCACCCTTTGCTGAGCGGTGTGGAAGGAAAGAAACAGTCAAGTGTTTGAAGATAAGGCTGCTCCTACTGAAGCACTGATTAGTAAGATAGAATGGACACTGGTCCGGTGAGTGTGGGTTTTAATGTTGTTTGCAAATATACCTATACCAGATTTTTTTTAATGGATTAAGTTTTATCATTTTTAATACAGTATAGCAGCATATAGCTGGGGGGTTTTGGTATACTTGTAAAGATCCTTCCCTTTTTTGAATCAATCTATTTTAACTTGCCTTTTAAAGAAAATAAAAATGTTTTCAATACTTGCTCATGTGTGTGTGTCAGTTATGACAAATTTTTGTGTATGTGCAAGCAGGCGAGATCACAAAATCCACAGCCAATGACACTTAATCATAGATGAAGAACGTGGTTTGGTGTGTTACATAAATTCATGGAAACATAATTATGAATTAACCACTCTCATTTATTCTTCAATGTTGCTTACTTGTTAGCAAACCCTGTATGATTGGGACAAGGCTTAGCTGAGTTGATTTAAGAAGTTGCTTATTTCTTATTTGGCCATGGTAGTATCTTTTTATTAAGAACATATATGACTTTGCAAAAAAACATACAAAATATGATCTACAGTAGAAATTACAAGTTCTCCCCAATTCTGGATGAATTTCTTTACAGCTATCTAAGAGAAGATATATTTTGACAATATCATGCATATATTACA